GTGTGTGTGTGTGTGTTTGCGTGTCAAATGCATGTTAGGGCGTTGGGTTGGGGTATGTGTTGTTTTTTCATGTTTTTTTAAATGGCCTAAAGTTAAGGTGTTCGACTCTCATTCAAAGGTCCCGGGTTCGAATCTGGGTAACGACGGAAAAACTTTGTTCTCTTAAAATGATCTCCTTTCGCCCCCTTCCCTTCTCTCTAACAATGTTCTGTCGTCTGCTTTCGTCTCCACTTTCCGCTCTCCCCCCATTACCTCCTTTGACACCTCCTTTGGGCTCTGGACTCTTTCTGCAGCCTTTCTATTGCTACTCGTTGGCTCCTTCTTACTGCTGTCTTTCAGCCACACCCCTGATCTTCTGGTAGGAAAGATCTACACCTAGTCTTGTCGGACAAGGGCGAAAAATCCCGGAGGTCCCGTGTGCAATTTGCGCACGTTGAAGATCCCTTGGTGGTCTAAATTGATAAGAGTAGGCTTTGGTCGCCACCAGGGCAAAATTCAAAATTTCCTACCAACTGAAAATGTTTAATCTGCCCCGCCCGTTCATATGACCTTATGCAGTTGAGAGCGCCGTAAAACACTTACCAAACAAAAAGAAAGGGGGGGGGGGGAATTCATGGAATCAGAGACCTTGTTATAGTAACATAATGTTGGACTCACTCGTATTGGCGTCATTTGCACTTTTTAATTGTAAGTATTATATAAACCTTACTGATCTCCACATTTTATTACGTGGGTAGACGATAGGATTTTTAAATGATTTTTTTTGTCGAATCAAATGTTTGAATCACTTTCCTTCATTTCTTAACGACATTGAAAGCGAAGCTCACAATGACGTTGAATGACATTGCTGAAAGAGTTTGACTTCAAAAAGCCGCATTGTGCACACACCCAATTACTTTGTTTCTTGGAATACATAATTTCCTTTCAATCATTGTATCGGCTTTTAGTGTTTTTGTTAGAACCTTTCTAGACATAACCAAAAACCCAAACTGTAACACAAACAACCAAAGTGAGCCCTTTTGAGACAGTGGTCCGTCAGAGATATTTAGAGCTTATTAACAGGGGACAACTGGGAAGAGAGACACAGTCTGAGAAAGACAAAGACTGACGCACTCTAAAAATTTAAATAATTGGCCAACTGAAAACAGACGAGATAATAATACGTCCTTTATAGGACCAGACGAGCAGAATAGAGCCTGTCTGTTGTGGCTGTGACACTTGATGCGATAAAAGAAAAATTACGTCACAGTTGCTAAGTCTGTGGCGACGAATATGCGGACTGACACGTCAATCCATTAGTTGAGAAACACTTCTTTCAGGCAGCCTTTTCGGCGTCTGTTTGCCAACAGTTGGGGGAATTACCTGACACTCAGAATTATGCCCCCTGGGGGTATTTTGAAATCTTTTGTCTAGGAACATAGATTAAGTTTTCTGTTAGCTTTTTTATCATTCGCAAACAATTATAACAGTGGCGTTGCAGTTGCAAGGAAATACAATGCTTAATAGACAGACATTTTTACGAATTAATAATACAGTTAGACTAGAAATTGAAAAGATTTTCAGATAATATGAATAGTAGCGCTTTGAGTATTTAGGCATGGGGGATTACTTATTATAAATAAAATTAAAACACACTCACCGATCACCCCTTTCCCCTTCACCTCCGTG